GGGGAGGGCAGCACATGGGCGGGCGGGCGCCCCTCTCTCCCTCCTTCTCCTTCCCCTCCTCCCACTGCTCCTCATCCTCCTCCTCCTCCTCCTCCTCCACCCCCTCTTATTATTTTTCTTCTTCCTCCCTCCTCCTCCTCCTCCTCCTCCTCCTCCTCTTCCTCCTCCTCCTCCTCTTCTTCTTCTACCTCCCTCCTCCTCCTCCTCTTCTTATTAGTATTATCCTTCTTATTATTATTATTATTAATTATTATTATTATTATTATTATTATTATTATTATTATTATTATTATTATTATTGTTATTATTATTAGTATTATTATTATTATTATTATTATTATTATTATTATTATTATTATTATTATCCTGCGTCTTCTTATTCTCATTATTCTGATTTTTCGTATTATTATTGTTATTATTATTCATATGAGTATGATTCTTAGTATTCTTATTATTATTATTAATATTATTATTATTATTATAAGTATTATTATTAGTATTAGCATTATTATTATTAATATTATTATTTTCATTATTAGTATTATTAATAGTAGTATTATTATTAGTATTATTTGTATTATTATTAGTATTATTAGTATGATTACTATTATTATTAATACTATTATCATCATCATCAGCATGATCATCATTATGATTATTAGTAGTATAATTATTATCATTATTATCATTATTACAAATATTATTACTATTAGTAGTAGTATTAATAGTATTATTAGTATTATTATTTCTACTATTATTATTGTCTTTATTATTATTGTTATTATTATTGGTATTATTATTATAAGTATTATTATTATCATTATTATCATTATTATTATTATTTGTCTTATTCCTCCTCCTCCTCCTCCTCCTCCTCCTCTTCTTCGTCTTCGTCTTCTCCTTTTTCCTCCCTCCTCCTCCTCCTCCTCCTCCTCCTCCTCCTCCCCCTCCCTCCTCCTCCTCCTCCTCCTCCTCCGCCTCCTCCGCCTCCTTCGCCCTTCTTCCTGAGCTGGGCAGGAGGGCTCATGCACCGATCCTGGGCCCAGGATCGGCCTGGCCGGGGATCGGTGCAGGTGGATTGGATAGCTGGCGCCCTCCGAGGGCGGGAAGCCAGGACCTCCCGCGGCCCGGGCAGCAGGGCCTCCCCAGGGGCCAGGCGTGCTCCCCCGCGCTCGCGCGATCTCGGTCGGGGCCAGGGCGAGCAGGCGCGGGCGAGTGGCAGGCTGACGAGGAGGAGGAAGAGAAGAAGAACGAGAACGAGAACGAGAACGAGAACGAGAACGAGAACGAGAACGAGAACGAGAACGAGAACGAGAACGAGAACGACGGCGACGACGACGACGACGACGACGACGACGTCGACCACCACCACCACCACGGCGGAGCGGCGGCGGCGACAATGACGACGGCAACGGCGATGGCGGCGGCGACGAGCGGAGCCCGCGTCGCCCATCACTGGGTCCGGGAGCGTCACCAGGTTGCGCATCGTCGCCAGGGCGTCCTCGAACACCTCCTCGTCAGGGCGGGAGGCGGTCCCCCGAGTCGGGGGGGGAGGCAGCGCAGAGCTGCCTGGCGGCTCGATAAGATAGCGCCGGCGGTTCTGGTGCTCCTCCTCCTCCTCCTCCTCCTCCTCCTCCTCCTCCTCCTCCTCCTCATCCTCTTCCTCTTCCTCCTCCTCCTCCTCCTACTACTACTCCTCCTCCCCCTCCTCCTCCTCCTCCTCCTTCCTCCTCCTCCTCCTCCTCCTCCTCCTCCTCCTCCTCCTCCTCCTCCTCCTCCTCCTCCTCCTCCTACTCCTCCCCCTCCTCCTCCTCTCCTCCTCCCTCCTCCTCCTCCTCCTTTTCCTCCTCCTCCTCCCTCCCTCCTCCTCCTCCTCCTCCTCCTCGCCATGCACATTTTCATAACAATGTTTCTCTAGGATATTCCTTCTCAGCCTCCTCATGTTTTTCCTTCTTTCCTCCTCCGCCTCCTCCTCCTCCTTCACCTCTTCCTCCTCCTCCTCCGCCTCCTCCTCCTCCTCCTCCTCCTCCTCCTCCGCCTCCGCCTCCTGCTCTCCCTCTCCTTGCGTACCCCATATCCCCCCCTCCTGCCAACTCAACAGGAATCTTGTGGCAGGGCGGCGGGGCAGTGTGCCGTGTGCAGAGCGCAGTGTGTGCAGCGAGCTGAAGGGAGCAGCCTGGACCAGCCAGGGTAGGGGCATTGGTTAAGGAATGGGCCCAGGAGGTTCCAGACCCTGGAGGATTCCTTATCTGATGAGGGCGGCAGTGCTGTCCATGCCCAATCCACGATTGGCTTTCCGCCTGCTTCCAGACTCTGGATTCCTTATCCACTGGTTCCTTATCACATGCCCTCACCGTAGCGGCAGAACTCGAAATTACTCTCGGCCACAGACAGGGCGGTCGACAGCGCCCGGGAAGCGCGCGCCCTCCCCACCTGAAACCTCTTACCTGAAACCAATCACCTGAAACCATGACCAATCACCAATCACCAATCACCAAGAGGGGGCCTACGACCAATCACCTGAAACCATGACGCGCGCTTCGCCCGCGCGCTCAGCTTCCGTCGGTCTCGCAGCCGACTGTATGGCGCGGAAGGCGGGCCGACTGCATGGTCTCTCTCTCTCTCTCTCTGTCTCTCTCTCTCTCTCTTTCTCTCTCTCTCTCTCTCTCTCTCTCTCTCTCTCTCTCTCTCTCTCTCTCTCTCTCTCTCTCTAATATATATATATAGAGAGAGAGAGGGAGAGAGAGAGAGAGAGAGTGAACAAAAAAAAAAAAAAAAACTGCACGAATACAGTAAGCTCGATATACATAGAAAACTGGTACAGCCAGACTTCAGGCCTGGTGGGGGCCACTGGGTCCGGAGCTCCCCTGGAGGGCCTAAGAGGGCCCCAGATGGACCCCCCAGGGCCCCAAGACGGGCCAGCAGGGCTACAAAACGCCCAAGATGGCCCCCAGACGCCCCAAGAGAGCCTCAAGAGACCTCCCAAGAGAGCCCCAAGAGGCCAAACCGTCCAATTCCTTGCGGAAACGAACAATTTTAACGGTTCGACTTTGAGACTTTCCGACGCTCCAAGACGGCCTAAGACGCCCCCAAGACCGCCCCGAGACGGCCCAAGAGGCCCCCAAGACGCCCCCACGACGGCACAAGAGGGCTCCAAGAAGGCCCAAGAAGCGCCCAAGACGGCCCAAGAGAGCCCCGAGACAGCCCCCGACCGCCAGCATGCCCCCGACAAGCCCCAAGAGGCACCCAAGAGGCCCAGAACAGGCCCCAAAAGGCCTCCAAAGTGCCCCCAAGAGGCCCCAGGAGGCGTCCTGAAAGGCCCCAATAGATCCAACTTCGAAGCTCCCAAAGGGCCGCGCCATAGCCGCCCCCCGATCATGTGCCGAACCGAGGAACAAATTAGTACGGCGACGGCCAGACCGAGTGTATACATACATGCATGCATGCATGCATACAGACAAACAGACAGACAGGCAGATACGAATAGATGCACATACATACATGCACGCACGCATGCATACATACGCACATACACACATACACAATTACACACATACACACATGCACACATACACACATACACACATACACGCGCATACACCCACATACACACATATGCACACATACAAACATACACACCTACATACATCCATCCATCCATCCATCCATCCATCCATCCATACATACATACATACATACATACATACATACATACATACATACATATATAGCTCGCGACGCCGTCGAGGCCATCACTCTTTTGGGACAGGAAAGGGCCAGGCGACGCGATGCAATCGTGCAACTGCAGATGAGACGGCGGACGCGGGCACCAGCAGCAGCAGAGACCCACTTTGGTGGCCCCCACCCCTGACAGATCAGTTCAAAGTAGGCGAAGCGGGATGGCAATGGGTAAACTTGGAGCACAAATATGAGTACGCATGCAAGCCAATGACGTCTGTAGTGTTCTCGCCGGCAGAAAACCGACCCTTTTCAGTCGAAAAGGGTCGGTTTCTGCGTTGCTCCCAGACGACTGTACTTTACAAGGTTTCGTCCGGTTCCCCGCCTCCGCTCAGCATTCAGTTGTAAAGACTACCAGCTCGCGACGCCGTCGAGGCCATCATTCTTTTGGGACAGGAAGGGGCCAGGCGATGCGATGCAATCGTGCAACTGCAGATGAGACGGCGGACGCGGGCACCAGCAGCAGCAGAGACCCACTTTGGTGGCCCCCACCCGATCCCGAAGGTTTGTCTGGCCGAAGGCCGCATTAACTAGTCATTTTCATGGCGAGCGAATGGAGGGCCTGCCCGGGCTGCAGAGAAAGGGACTGAACGATGCACTGGGCAGCGGCAGCGGCGAGCTGGGGGGGGTACTCAGCAGCGAGCGCGGTACGCTTTCGACCCTGCTCGTCGTTCCCTTCAAGAACGAGGTGCCTGTTGCCAGTCCTACTGCAAAACCCTCGGCGACCAGAACATATCTTTTCGAGCAACGGCGATGCGGCGGCACCCCACGAACAGATGGTGGTGGCTTTTCTGTAAAGCGCGTCGCACTGGCACTGATGCAACACAGACTTGCGACAAGAGGGCGACTTACACAGACGAGCCAGCCCAGGGCCAGACCAAATGAGTGAGGTGTGTGGATTCTCTGAGTATACGGGCACTCGAGCTGCAATGCATGCGCGAATCACTCTGAGCGTGAAGCGGTACGTAGCGTTGCCAGCGCCTACCCTGGCCTGCTCATGGGCATTCAGATCAGGAAGACCGGGCGGGTGGAGCGCGGACCTCAGCGGCCGCCGGAGCGCCCTCGTCCAGCTCGCGCACGGCGTGCCGAGCCAAACGGCGCCCACCGCTCGGGACTGGATCCAGCCAAGGACGACGGTCTGGAATGTCGCCGCAACGCGGTCCTCCAGCGGGCTGCGGCTCCAGTCGAGCCCGAAAGCGGCGAAGCCCAGCGCCACCATCGCACGAGCTATCGTGCCGGCGCCGCAGAACAGCTCCAGCACGGGCCGCCGCGCGCTGGCACTGCCGCCGCAAGTGCCGCCTGATGGCGTCTGGGCCGCCAGCCGCCGCGCTGGCGCCCGCGCCGCCAGTGGCCGTCACCGCGCCGCCGCCGGCCGCCTCCGCGCCCGCTGGGGGGCGACGGCCCGAGTTCCGAGCAGGCCGGCGGCCCCGGCCGGCACGCGGCCAGTCGCCAGCAGCGCGGGGAGGGGGCCCTCGACGAGCGCCATCAAATTGTCCTCGACGAAAGCCCCGAGCTCCAGGGCAGCTGGAGGGATCCAGGCGAGCTCGTCCAGCAGCTTTGTCTCCTTGGTGTAGCGGTTGAGACTCTTCGCGGACTGCCATCGTCCGCGCCTCTGAATCTCTGGCAGAGACCTCCGTTGCGACAGCATGTCGTCCGAGGCTCCGCCGCGACGCAAGCTGTATAAGTGTGGTCGGAGGCGTTCCAGCGACAGCTCCCGGCAGGCGCTGTCGAAGAGCTTCGGCAGCTGCCCGATCGCCCCCCCCACACAACGGCTGGTCGGGCAGGGTGCTGAGCTTCAAGGCCGCCAGCAGGGGGGCGAGCCAGCCCTCGCGGTCGAAGAGGATGCTCTCGTCGTTCACGCCCGTCTTGCCTGGGTCCTTGCCGCTCTCGCGCAGGAGCAGCCCGAAGTACTGGTAGAGCGTCCCCGCGGAGGCAGAAGGCGCTATCAAGTGGCGCCCGCGCAGCTTCGCCGCCTCCCCGGGCCTGAGGCAGCACGCAAACATGACGAGGACGCAGATGGCGAGCCGGGAGCGCCCGTCGCGCAGGAGGACGCCCGCGATGGCAAACACGACTCGCCGCGGCAGCGGGAGGCGCGTGCGGCCCGGCGCCCGCCGGGCCCAGGCTGCAGCCGCGCGGTGCGCCCTCGGCAGCTGCGTCGCCGCTCGCTTGTGGAGCGAGCCGAGAAAGTGGGCGACCGCCGCCAGGAGCACGTTCCCCATGTTCCCGCCGCCGCCGAGGAGGAACTCGCTGTCCATGTACTGCACGAAGACCGAGTCGAGGCTGGCATGGTCCGTCCAGTCCAGGCGGTGCCCTGCGCAGGAGCTCGCGAAGGCCGACAGCGCCCCCCGGTAGAGCTTCTCGGTCGAGGGCCGCACCGCCAGCCGCTCCAGCAGCGAGAGCCCCAGGACCGGCGCCGCAGCAGCTGCAAGCTCCAGCGCGCGGCGGGCTCGCTCGCCCCTCAGCGCCGACGCCGTCGGAGCCGCCTGCTTCCCCCCAGCCAGCGCGGCCCGGAGGAGGAGCGCCAGCAGCCAGTGCAGCCGCGTGATCCAGCAGCCCCACGCCCGGCAGTGCCGGCGCCGGCCGACTGCCGGAGAACCAGCCAGCGCGCCCGCGACTGTGCCCGTCGGCGGGATTCGCCTCCGACGGGATCCACCTGACAGACAGGGTTGAGCCAGTGGCCACGGAGAGCGCGCAGATATTGCGAAGGGTGCTCTGGAGGTGCCTGCTGCGAGCCCGGCCCTTCCCGACCGACAGGGCCAAGGGCAGGTTGTCGGAGAGGGCGAGGAACCGGGACCCGAACGAAGACGTGGACCGTAACAGATGGCGATGCCCAAGAACGAGAGCCCCCCCCTCCAAGGCCAAGATGTTGGCCTGACCGTCGACGAAGACCGCGGCGACCGAGCCCCAGGCCGACTCCCGCATGAAATGCGCGGGGACCTCCGCGAAGTCGACGGGCGGGCGAGGATCGAGCACCGAACGCCCCAGCTCGTCCTACGCCCCCTTCCCCCCGGGACCGACGTTCGCGTTGTCCGAGCTGTCGAACGAGAGGGGGTAGCCGAGGTCGGCGGCGGCGTCGGTCTCCTCCGACACCCCTACAGTGCGAGCTCTCGCCTGCGCTCCTCCCTCGACTTTATACCTCCACTTTTCAGCAACTCGGCCTGTGGCGCCCACGAGGTCCTTTGGGGCGCGGCGAGCAACGACACCCAGCCCCCACGGAGAGGCGTCTGCACACGCGACGCGCCCGTGCCAGGGGGCGCCCAGGTCGGCCGTGCAAAGGGGCAGCAGGTCGTGAATTAGCTGGAGCTCCTGTCGCGCCGCAGGCCACAGGGGCGCCGCCGCGGGCCCGGCGGCCTGAATGAATGCGTAGGTCGCCCGCAGCACGGACAGCATCTCTCGTCGAAGCAGAAGGGCCCACGTGATGTGGCCGGTGAGCACCCGCAACAGGAACCCGCTGATCAGCTGGCGGCGCAGGGCGCCGCGGATGGCCGCGCGGAGGCGCCAGATGTTACGAGTCCGAAGGCTGAGCCAGCGCCCCTCGCGCAGCGACAGCCCCAGAAAGTCGCAGTCCTGGGAGGGCTCCTCGACGCCATGAACTGCGAGCCCATGCCGTTGGAGGTCGTCGGCGATAGCCTGCAGCTGCTCGCTCACGTGCTGCGGGGGGCCGCCAAGGACGAAGAAGTTGCCCGCGTAGCCGGCGCCCACGACCGAGGATGGGTCGCCAGAGAGCTGGCAGCTGCTATGGCCGTCAAGGATCAGGTTCTCGGGCGAGAAGCCGGCTCGGCACAGGGATGTCTGCAGCACCGTCCGGCACGGGTGCAGGGCCCAGCTGAAGCCCATCGGGAGCACCACCACTTGCGGGAGCAGGAGGTCGTCACCCCTCGCGCCGGCCTCCACGCATCCGAAGGGCATCAAATACTTTGCAAGGATCGGAGGCAAGGTGAAGAACTCCCCCATCCCAGCAGGCACCTGCATGTGGTAGAAAGCGACGTCCAGGTCGGCGGAGCCGATGCTGAGGCGAACGTCGCCAGCCTCGAGGCGGCCCCAGGCCGAGGCAGACGGCAGCTGGGCCCTCGGGGGCTTCGATGAACGAGCAGTTGGCCACCCGCGTGTCGAAGATGACCCTCAACTTCCCATTCTTTTTAGGTACAAAAAATATTCCCATGTTGCCCCGCCGCCCCCGGGCGGGAGACAAGGTGAGCACGCGGCGCTCCGCCATCGCGCCCAGGAACTTGGCATGATCTGCGGGCGACTGAACGAGGGCGGGGTCCGCGTAGGGCCCGCGCGGACAAGCCTCAGCCCGAAGCTGACGCGCCTCCTCCGCATCTCGAAGCATATGGCACCTCCACTCCTGCAGCGCGGCGGCGCCCCGCTCTCCAAGCAGCCCAAGGAGCGGCGCTGGGGGCTGGGACACATCGGGCCAAGAGACGAGGTCTGGCACGTAGGGAGTAGTGGGCCCGCTGCCGTCAGGGTGCAGCGCGGACCCAGCAAGGAGCTCCCGGAGGGCCCCGTTGGGGTCGGACACGTCGTCGCGGCACTCGTCCGGCTCGGGGCCGAGGGCGGCAATGGTGCCCCAGATGTGACCGACGGCGCAGCGCTGCCCTGCTGTCGGAACGGCCGACTCGGGCGAGGACTTGTCACCGCATAGGTAATTCAGTGCATGCACGGCAGCGCTGGCCCGGTCGAGCGCGCGCCCGAGGGCGTGGCCCGCCCGAGCGCGCCGCCGGGTGCGAGAGAGGCCAGGCGCCGCGTCGGCTGCCGTGAGCTGCGGCAGCGGGAAGAGGTTGCGCCGGCGACAGTCTTCACGCGAAGGGGGCCCGGCCTCGCCCGAAGCGCGGGCAGCGCTGTTGGCGCCCGCGGAGGCCTGGAGGCGCGAGGGCGGCGGCGGGCCAAGCCGACCGCCCTCCGGCAAGCTAGGCATCGCCGCCTGCGGCACCGGAGCCTCTGCCCCGCCGGCCGCCGCGGCCCCTGCCGCCCCCTCCGCGCCCGCCGCCAGGCTGGCCGCCGGCGAGGGCGCGCTCCTCGCGCGCCTTCCTCCGCTCCTTCGCAACTGCCATCTCTTTCTGCAACTCCGATGCGAGATAGTCGCGAAGGGCGGGGCAGACACACACAGAGCCCGCGAGCTGCGACGTCCCCATCATGGTCGACCTGTCAGCAGCCGAGGCATCGTCGGGCTCAACGAGAAACCGGTACTTCTCTTCCTGCACCTGGATCGAGCGGGCGACGAGCTCGAGGTGGGCGAGGTTCGTGGCGCGTTCCTGGTCGTAGGTAAGACGACGCAGCCCGTCTGGTGGATCTCCACTCCTGGATCGGCGGGGTCAAGGCCCGTTTCCGCCAGCCACCTCTGATGATGCGCCGTCGGCGTGCCGCTCCGCTGCGCCATGAACTCTGCCACCCACCGCAACGTGCGCGGCCCTCGCACGGGCCAGTCTGGCCAGGGGAGCTCGGTCATCCGGGTGACTGCGGTGCGGAAGTCCACATGACGGACCCCGCGCGCATCGACCACCACGCCGAAGATCCGGGCGTCGCCGCCAGGTCCAGCCACAGCCGGGGCCGCCGGGGCGCCCGCCGCGGGAGCTGCAGCCGCCGCCGCGGGCGCGCCGGGCGCTGCCAGGGCGGCGGGCGCGACGGGCGCGCCAAGGATGGCCGCCGCGGCCCCAGGCCCGGCTGGCGGGGCGCCCGCGCCGGCGGCAGGGGCGGCGGGCGCTGCCACGGGCACCAGGGCCGCTGGGGCGGCCGCCGCAACGGCCGGGCCGCCCGCAGGGCCGCCAAGGGCCGCCACCAGCCCCGCGAGGCCGCCGCCGCCGCCAGGGCCCCCAGCCGCCGCAGCCGCCGCGCCGCCAGCCGCAGGGGGTGCAGCGCCCACAGGAGCGCCGGCCCCCACGCGCCCGGCGAGGTTGACCACGATGGGCCCGACCGGCACCGCCCCCCTTCTCGCGTATGCTGCGGTTCGAGCTGCATCCACCGCGGCTTGCAACGGGATGTGCCTGAAGTCGTAGACGTCGTCGTTACCCATAGCCGGAGCAGCAGGCCCGATCGTGCCAAGCGGGAGCATCGTCCACTCTGCGATATTCGCCTGGTCGGCCACGTCCTCGTCGTACTCATCGAGGTCGGGAGTCATGATGCCCGCAACGGTGGTCCCGCCGGGCACGAGCGCCACTACCAGGCGGCGGTGCCAAAGGCGCCGGCCACCCACTCTGTATCGGACAGCCAGGAAGTCGCCCTCGGCCAAACCCGCCGCGATGAGCTGGTGTGGAGCCGCCATGGCGTCAGGCCTGGCGGGCCGCGGCGCGGCGTGCTGCAACCTCCGCCAGCTGCGCGCGCGCCTCCTGCAGCAAGTCCGCTCGGGCGGACGAGGGGTCCGCGAGCTCGGCCGGGCCCGCTGCCCGTGCCGGCGCCGCTGCGGGGGCAGGCGCCAGCCAGCGCTGTGCCAGCAGCACCGCCGAGGCCCCGGCGACCGCGCCGAGGCCGATCAAGGAGAAGCATGCCCAGGGCCCGGGCCACTCCCAGCCCGCTTCCTGCCCGAACTCCCGCGGGAGCGCGCCCTCTGAGCAGGCAAGCGCAGGCGCGCAATTGCAGGTGCAGTGTGGACAAGGGACCGCCGAAGACCGCACGGCGAGGGCGGTTGAGATGCCCCGGGTAATCTCGAGGAGAAAAGCCTCCATGGGAGCCGGGGTCCCCACAAAACTTTGAGCACAAATATGAGTACGTATGCAAGCCAATGACGTCTGTAGTGTTCTCGCCGGCAGAAGAACCGACCCTTTTCAGTCGAAAAGGGTCGGTTTGTGCGTTGCTCCCAGACGACTGTACTTTACAAGGTTTCGTCCGGTTCCCCGTCTCCGCTCAGCATTCAGTTGTAAAAACGACCATGTATATATGATATATATATATATATATATATATATATATATATATATATATATATTATCATATATATATCATATATATATATATATCGCATACGTACATTACCTATGTACATGCATACATACATCCACCAGACCGGACAGACAGACCGGCAGGCATGCTTGCACGCATGCATGCATACATGCATGCATGCATACATGCATGCATGCATACATGCATGCGTGCGTGCATGCCGACCTACATACATACATAGGTACATACATGTCAACAGACCTACCAACATTCATCCATCCATCAATCCATCAATCCGTCCATGCGTACATATATATATGACTGAATGAGTTTGGACCAACACGGTTTCGGACAACGTACATGCCACGAACCAATTTATCAACATTGCACTGCTACACTCCTCCTCGGCCAGGCGCCCTCCGCGCCGCCGCCGACAATAGGCAAGCCGCCCGCTAGCTTCATTGTACTGGATGGCCGAGCCTTCAGCTCAAGCCGTGCTCACACTGCTGCCCGCAGGGACAGCCTGCTACGTCCTTCCAATATCACGAAGTTGCACCGATCCATGAACAAATCCGCCGACCCTTTGTGGGTCTCTAGGCGTGTGAGATACTTCCCCCCACCCACCACCCCGGGACCCCAAACCAGAGATTTGACCCCCCCCCCGGCCCCCCCCCCTGGCTTCCCCCCCGGCCCCCCCCCGGCCCGGCGCGAGCGCATCACGAGGTTTTTCCGGACCCAAGAGGGCCTCAAGACGGGGCAAGAAGGCCCCCAGAGGCCTCCAAGACAGCCCACGAGGGCCCCGAGACGCCACACATGTGCTCCAAGACGCCCAAGATGGCCCCGAGATTGGCCAAGAGGCCTCCAACACGGCCGAAAAGGTCCCAAACAAGCCTTCCAAGAGGGCCTCAAGAGGCTAAAATTGATGATTTTCCATTGTGTTGTTCGGTGTTTTTTGCCTTTTTCGCCTTTTCTGCTTCCCGACGCTCCAACACGGCCCAAGAGGCCCCGAAGACAGCCACAAGACGGCACAAGAGACCCCCAAGACGGCCCCAAGACGGCCCCGGATGGCCCCAAGACGGCCCAAGAGGTTCCCAAGACGGCACAAGAGGGCTCCAAAACTGCACCAAGAGAAGCCCAAGAGGGCGACCAAACATTTAGAAAAGCTAGCTTTCCGCCCCAAGGATCCCCAGGCGGCCCCAAGTGTGCCCCCAGAGGCCGCCAGAGGCCCCCAAGACTCTCCCCAGACGCCCCAAAGAACCCCCAAGAAGCCCCCCAGAGGCTCCGAAACGGCCCCAAGTGGTTTCAAAACTACATTCCAGAGGCCCCCGAGAGCCGCGCCGCGAGATCCCGACACACATACAAGATGCCTCTAACCCATAACCCATGACTCTGAGCCTTCTCTCTGTGTCCCCCTCGTCCCCCCCATCCACCTCGGCCCCCAGGTGGCTTCAACATTGCCTTCCAGAGGCCCCCGAGAGCCGTGCCGCGACACCCCGATAGACAAACAAGAGGCTTCTAACCCATAGCCCAGAACCCAGAGCCTCATCTCAGTATCCCCCTCCTCATCTTCCTCCTCCTCCTCCTCCACCTCCTCCTCGTCCCCCTCTCCTCTCCCTTCGTTTCATTCCCCACCCTCCTCCTCTCCCGATCCTCTCCGATTCTTCTCCCCCCCATCCTCCGCCCCCCTTCCCCCTTCTCTCCCCGTCCTCCTTTTCCTCCCCAGCACGCGCGCCCGATTGGGCATCATTTGCATTCATTGCACTTCAGGGTGCCCTTCTTTTCGTCGCGCGCGACATTGGCAGGGTTCCCGGGAAACGCCGACTTCGGCAGTCTCCTCTCGCACGCGCCGCTGCACTGATACGCTCGGCAACTGCGCGCTGTGAACCCCCGAGTTTCTCACAGCCCCCGCACACCACTTTGAGTTGTTTCGTCTTTCGATGATGTTCCACTTGCGCTGGCGTCTAATGTTTCGCGTCCGAGAACGCTCTTCCGCGCGCCGCGCACGTCAACGGCTTAGCGTCCGCCTCAGCTTTCCGCTTCTTATTATTCAGCTCGCGCGTCGTCCTCTCGCGCTCTTCCGCGCACCTCCGACATATCCTCTCCCCTGCTGTTTTGTGCTTCTTTTGAGCATCGGACATCTTCGCCTCCTCTGGGAACGCCGCCAGACAGTCATCGCTCGAACAAAGCACTTGGCCCACGCGTTTCCCATCATTCGACTCGCGCGTCGTCCTCTCGCGTTCTTCCGCACATTTCCGACACCACCTCTCCCCTGCTGCTTTGTGCTTCTTCTGGGCTTCGGACATCTCCGCCCCCTCTGGGAATAGTACCAGACAGCCATCGCTCGAACAACGCACTTTGCCCACGTTCTCGGCCCATTTCGCGCTGCAACGGCGAGACTTCTGTTGCCCTTTGACACCGCTGCACTTGACACAGTACAAGGTCCAAAATCTTTTCGCGTCGACCCCATCGCCAACACCTGCCACGCCCCCATCGCCGCCCTCCTGCACGCCTCCATCGCCCTGCGCTTTCGTTGCCCATCCGTCGCACGTCTTGCACCATTTCTCGCCCCGGCCCTTCATCTCGGCGGTGCACTCTTTACAGAACGCCGGCCTCTCCTTCCGCTGGAACTCGCACTTCGTGAACGCCCCCACCAGCAGCCGTCGTCGGCAACGCCCACGCTGATCGCGCAGCATCAGCTTCGCCCCCCACTCCTCCCAGTCCACTTTCTTCCCGCGAAGCACCTGCAACAGCTTCTGCGCGCCTGGCATCTCGCCTTCGTTGTACGGCTTCCCATCGAAAGGCCGGAAAATCAACGAGTTCTCCCGCCTCCGGGCCCGCGCAATGGCCACATAACTGGACATCCAACTTACGCCGCGCCCTCTCCCCAGATCTGCAATAACAGCGCACATGGTCCTCCCTTGCGCGGCGTGGGCTGCGACTGCCAACGCTGAAGTAATCATGAACTGCGCGCTTCACGCCCAACACTGGACGCTTCCGATATTCACCAAAAACCACAGGCGCCCCTTTGAGGGAAAATCGGGCACAGCCCCGGTTCCCACCCTGGCAGGTGCCACTCCTTCGCATGGAAATCCAACACTATCATCTTGGGCACGGGCGACAAGACCTCTTCGTCCGCGTCTCCCACGACCTCGTCCTCGTGCTACACCCACCCATGAATCGTCGCTGCGCGCCCCCGCAGCAGCTGTTTCTTCGACCTATCCAAATGATCTCCAAGCGCCACGGGCACCCCTTTCGCCAACGGGAGGCACCCTGGCAAGCCTCCACACACTTTCTCGTGGTACCCCAGCCACCGCATTTTATCCCCCACCGTGCACGGCCGCCTTTGCCCCCCCCATGGCAGGGCCGGTCTCTCCCAGCGACCCGCAGAATCTGTTCCCCCCGTTCCCTCGCCCATTGCACTGCTCTCTGCTTCCCAACGTGACACCGGATGTCCTGGTTCGCATAAATCGCAACGGCCCCCACAAACCCCTCCTCCCTGAATCGCGCGTCCTCCGGCGACGTCGCCACCAGCTTCCTCTTCTCTCGCTCAGCTTTGCAGGCCCCGCACTCTAGAGCAGTGTTCTTCGCAATTTCCTCTGCCATCGCTCCACAACGCGCGTTCCCGCACTGCGGGGCGCCGCTCACCCATGATCCTGGCACGTCCGTTGGCCTGCCATGCAAGAAATTACGCGTCCGCTCGGTCAGCTCTCCGCGACGGAACTCGCCTTGCACCCCTAGAAACCAGTCATCCTGGTCCTCCACGCGCATGCACTCCGTCAGTTCTGTCATGCCTTGAACTGCCCCTCCGCCACCCGCCCCCCAGAAAATGCGTTGCCCGTGATCCTCTGTAGCTCCCGGCGCGCACATCCTCGCATTTTTGAAATACGACGTGGGCAGCGCATTGATCGCCGTTCCCGACGGCGGGCCCTGCTGATAAAAATCTCCGCTGAATAACACGCCAACGCCCCCGAAGGGCCTGCCTGCGCCGCCCCCTCCTACCTTTGCATCGCTCGCTGCAGACATACACGACCGCAGTTGCGAATCCAGCTCTGCCAGAAAATTCGCGCTCAACATGGTCACCTCGTCAACGATGAGCCACTTCCACTGCGACATTCGCTGCGCAGCCACCTCCTTCTTCGTCTTCCCCTTCGCCTCGGCGCCCTTCTCACCGTCTGCGACAGGTCCCTTCGTCTCATTCACACCCAGTCCAAATGCACTGCGAATGGTGTTCCCGCCCAGCGCTGACGCATTGGTGACCTGCAAAGCTGCCACCTGGAAGTCAATGCCGCGCGTCCACCCCATCTCCCTCTCTAACAGCTCCCTCCGAATCTTGCCAATTACGAAGCTCTTCCCCGTCCCTGGGCCACCGCGCAGAACCCACAACAG